GTAGTCATACTGACAGATGCTCAAATGTATCAGCAAGGGTGGGGAAAGGAGGAATGATCGTCACATGTGAGGAGCTGTTGACAGCCCAGGGAAGCGTAGCACAGAGAAGACTTAGGGTGGGCATGATGGTGTCTCAACAACTCAGGGACCAGAGGGCAGTACAGAATAGGACCATGTGACAGGGAAGAGCTAGGGAGACATATTTAGGCTCAAGATAAGGAAGAGTTTTCTAAATTCAATGTTCTCGGAAGACGAGAATAAGCGAGTTTCCCAGCACTGGAGATGTTCAAGAATATCAGGAGCACTGGGCAAAGATGCAGTTACGGAAAATGGGCAGTCAGATTAGATGACTGGGTCTCAGCTGGGGCGACTCCACTTCTACCCCCAGAAAGGGACATTGGCAATGTCTAGAGATATTCTGGTTGTCACAACCAAGAGGTTCTACTGGCCTCTAATGGGTAGGGACCAGGGACACTGCTAACATCCTGCCATGCACCAAACAGCCCCACCACAAAGAATTATCTGGCCCAAAATATGAACAGCATTGAGGTTGAGGAACCCTAAATTAGATAAACCGGAAAGGCTGAGTGGAAGCAATCGCCCCCTCCAATCTGTCTGGCAGCCCAAAGGACTGTAGAAGGGAATCGGCAATGCGCTGGGAAGAGCCGAATTTCAAGCAGGACCATGCAGCAATATTTTCAAGTAGTTGAATCTCAGAAATATATTTTCAGTTTCAAACATTGTGGGTTGTATTTTGGGATGCTGGCCATTTCTGCTGTAGCCAAAACTATGAACCCGTAATTCTCCCCACAGCAAATTTTCTTTTTCACCATTTCTACCTACTTCTGTGTATAAGTTGGAAGGCACAGGTCTAGAGACAGGGTGGGCTGATGGGTGGAGAACAGGAAACAAGCAAAGATAGGAAACCCCAGTGAGGTTTCACTCAAAGGCCTCTAAGAACTGTCCCTGCTATCTCTTCTAAAATGATCCTTTATTCCCCCTTTTATGCCTGCTGGGTGGTGCCATTTGTCAGACTCTGGAAAAACCATGGAACTACAAATAAATTTGTTGTCACTAGATGTGTGAATCAGATGGCTCTGAGGTCACCTCTTGGCTCTGTCTGTCAGTTACCCTCTGGGTACTGGGCAAGTTATTCAACCTTCTGAGCCTCAGTTTCCTAATTTATAAAATGGGGTAAACAACACAGACCTCATAGGACAGCTGCGAAGAGCACATGAGCAAATGCACATAACAATCACATGCAGTCCCTGGCACATAATAAATGCTCACTAAGCAGCAGCTATTGGACCATCTTAGGAGACTTAAATAGCACAACAGTGGGTTAGGCTTTGAACAAGAAAACGATGCTATCAAAATCACAGCCTAACACAGAAATTAGCTTGCTGCAATTACAGCTGTTCATTATTATTAAAGAATAAGTAGCTGCCGGACAATAGATATGCACGATCTCATTTAACTGCCCTAACACCGTAGGGAGGAAAGCATTACCAACTCACTTTACAGATGAAGAAACTGACATGCTTGTGCTAAGTGAGGTGCCAATCATAGTTCCTAAATGTCAGAGGAGGAATTGGAGCCCAGGCCAGCCTGATTCCTAAACTCCTCACCACTGCCTCCCTGTTCTCCGTCATTCTCCTTATTCCTCTGCTTCCTCCATCCAGCCTGGACCTGGGAATCTTGGAGCATCTCACTGCAGCAAGACCAGCCCTCAAAGCCTTCACTGGCTCCACATAGAAATGGCCAGTCACAGCTTAAGATATTTCCCCTCACCGAGCTATTGTCATTTGGCAAACATAGCCACTAAACATAAGCAGAGACTCTCAGCCTGGAATCCCCTAAGAGCAATGGTAGAGATGCATGAGCTATTTTCCATATTTCAAAAAGCCACGAAGAAACTAAAATACAGCGTTTCATTGATTTAGGTTGGAATTATATCGACTTTCTGTGGTGATGCTCCTTATTTCAACCTGATTAGAATCTCGATTGATAGATAGTTTCTTACGTCTTTAATGAATAAAAATGAGAAATCTAAATACATATCGCCTGTTTCACAACCTGAACTCAGCCATGCACGGTAGCTCCTGCCTGTAATCCCAGAACTATCTGGGGCCAAGGTGGGAGGACAGCTTGAGCCCAGTAGTTCAAGACCAGCCTGGGCAGCACTGTGAAACCCAGAACTGTATTTTTTCTACAAAAAATACAAAACTTAGCCAGCCATGGTGGCATGCAACTGTGGTGTCAGCTACTCGGAAGGCTGAGGTGGGAGAGTCACTTGAGTCTGAGAAGTCAAGGCTGTAGTGAACTGTGATTGCACCACTGCACTCCAGCCTGGGCAACAGAGGGAGACCCTTTCTCAAAACAAAAACCAGCACCCAAATAACAAAATTCCCCTGAGCTCCATGGAATAAAATAATTTTACAAATGCACTTGGTGATGAAATGTCTGGGGTCACTGAGCTTAAAGGACACCACATAAATCATGGACTATCAGGCTCTAGATTGGTTCTGGGAGAGTTTCTTAGCTATCCATCGAACTCTATGGACTCCTTCTTCCACAGAGATGCAATCAGAGCCAGGTAAAACTGACTATTCCGACTGCAACCACCCAATCTTGCAGTTAGCTATGACCATGTGGCTGACTGTTTACTAATGGAACATGAGCAGAAGCGATACATGCTTCATTTTGGCTGGTATATTAAGAGAGCAGGCGTGCCTCTTCCACCTTCCCCTTCTTAGCAGCTCCCACCCAAGCCGTGCAGACAGGAACAGTGCTCTGAGAAAGTGCTCGTCGCATGTGGTCCATAGATCAGCTGTTCATCCCCAAACTGTTTTTTTCCCATCTACGACGAGGTAAAGATCTTGTGCTAGGACAGAAATCAATGACATCCCTACGCACATTGTTTAGTATGGCCGATATATTTTTTTTCACAGCAAGATGCTTCGATGAAGGAAGCAGTGCATTGACTTACATTCTGACGCAAGCTCCTTCTCTCCCTGCAGGCCAGCCCATGGAGTAGTGCTGCTCTAGGGAATGACAGAGACTCAAGGTGGTATGAACCCAGGTTTCTGAATATCAATGTGGAACAGAGCTGCCTGCCAACCTGGAACACCTGCCCTGAACAGAAAAGAGAAACTGACTTCTCTTTTGAGGGGGTCATTGCATTGCAAGGTCTCTTTCTCCTAACAGTTTCGCTTTCCCCTGGCTACATCAGTGGGGTTAATCGTATTTATCTGGCTGTCTGTGGTGAGGATTTTAAGAGGTCTATGAGAGGGCACCCAGTCAGGATCTACTGGGGCTTACTCATATCAGCTGAATCAAACATGCAAAGGTTCCATTCTCTAACTGGAAACAGTCCACTGTCTTTTTTGCTTAGGAGTTTGGACTCAGCCTCCTATTCCTGGAGGACAGTGCATCCATTCAAAACTCTTGAGCCGCATCTTTGTGCCTAAGACTGGGCCAGGCACTGTGGATGCAGTTTTGAGCAAGATGACATGAGTACTGCCTTTACAGGGTGCCACAGCAAGTCATCTGGCCCAGCCACACTTTGGGAGGCCAAGGTGGAAACTTGTGGGCTGGGGTGGCCTTAGAGCAAGAGCTAAGGTGAATGGAGGGCCTAGTCACATCCTGACCTGTAATGGACACATGAAACAGTGTTGCCTGAATTAGCTGAAGTGTTGCGCTTTCTTTTCTTTTCTTTTCTTTTTTTTTTTTTTTTTTTTAGATGGAGTCTTGCACTGTCACCTGGGCTGGAGTGCAATGGCGTGATCTCGGCTCACTGCAATCTTTGCCTCCAGGGTTCATGTGATTCTCTTGCCTGAGCCTCCTGAGAAGCTGGAGTTACAGGTACATATCACAACACCTGGCCTTCAATATATTCTTAAGTGATTATACATGCACATTGCATGACTGAGTATTCTTGGATTTGATGAGTATTTTCATGTATACGCCTGTACCCCAGTACTTTGGAGGCCAAAGCTTATTTGAGGCCAGGAGTTCAAGACCAGACTGGCCACCATGGTAAAACCCCTAAATATAAATACTACTAAAAGTACAAAAATTAGCTGGATGTGGTGGTGCACGACTGTAATCTCAGATACTCCACAGGCTGAGACAGGAGAATCGCTTCAGCCAGGGAGGCAGAGGTTGAAGTGAGCCGAGATTGTGCCATTGCACTCCAGTCTGGGTGACAGAGTGAGTCGCTATCAAAAAAAAAAGAGAGAGAGAGAAAGAAAGAAAGAAGGAAAGGAAGGAAGGAAGGAATCAGCAGATACTCAGACACAAGCATATATTTTCAACTTCATCAGTATCAATACCATGTTGACATGGAACACTAAAGACCCACCAGGGAGGCAATTAACCAGCATTTGGGAAGAAATAGACTTCACCTATTCCAACCACACGACCAGCTCTGGCAGCCAGGACGTGGGCAACAGCATCCTACCAGCTTCTATTTATTGTTGCATTGCTATGGTGCCAATCCCCTTTGTATCCATGGTATTTAGAACCCCAGGGATTGGGCTGGTGAGCATTCTTTAGGTCTGAGAACAGAAGCAGCAGAGGGACTTTGAGCAACTTTAGAGAGGTGTGTATGTGGCAGTTTAGGGACAGTTTGAGCTGTCTGGTAGATGCAGCCTAGGGAACCTGGCATACAAGCAGTTTCTTTCTCTGTCCCATGGAAGCTGCAAGCTTGTGAAAAGGACCAGGTATCTTCTTTATCATCTTTTGTCTTGCCATACAGGTGGGCAGGGCTGCCTGGGAATAGTGGATGGGTTAAGGACACTGGGAGAGAGAGGAGAGAGAGAGGAGAGAGGAGAGAGGGGGGGAGAGAGAGAGAGAGAGAGAGATAGAGAGAGAGAGAGAGAGAGAGAGAAGAGAGAGAGAGAGAGAGAGAGAGAGAGAGAGAGAGAGAGAGAGAGAGAGAGAGAGAGAGAGAGAGAGAGAGAGATCTGCAAAAAGGAGGCAAGGTCTGGAGCCCTATCTATGGGCTGGGACAGCAAGGAAGTGACCTACGAGAAGGAAGGTCTGGAGACGCAGAAGGCACTTTCAATGGCGATGCCACATCCCTCCAGCAAAGCCCATCCATCACAGGGCATCCATCTTTAGAGCGCATCCCTCTGCAACTACACCCCCTCTCCGCCCTGGATCAGGCAGCAGGGTCGCCCCCTCGAGGAATCTCCAGGCAGCTAACGCTGGAGGCACCAGCGAGGCTAGAGAGGAAGGAGTTGACTAAACTGTGCTGGATGGAAGGCGTCGAGGACCGGAGGAATTAATCCGATGTGAGGAAGGCGGACTGGGCTACGAGGAAAAAAGAGGGGGGCAATGTGCACTCAGCCTTTTCATCAGTCGGCGGGGAGATGGATAGTTTTCCGGACCAGGCGTCCCAGAGCCCCGACTAGCTATAGGGAGACGTCAGAGAGCTCAGGTCCATGGTGGAAGAACCCCCCAGCCCCCCCGCCCGGGCTTCCATATAAAGTCGGGGCCCTGGTGGAGGCCGCAGCAGTAGCACCAGCGGCTTCGGCAGCGGAGCGCCTCTGAGGTCTGGGTCACCTGTCGCTGCTCCGCCGGGAGGGCGCACTTCCCAGCCTCGCCCAGCCTCTCCGCCACGCTCCAAGGGCTTCCCGCCGGGACCATGCGCGGCCGTGTGCTCCCGCTGGTCCTGCTGGTGCTGGTCCTCTGCCAGGCGCCCCAGGGGCCCGCGGTCCCGATGCCTGCTGGCGGAGGGACAGTGCTGACCAAGATGTACCCGCGCGGCAACCACTGGGCGGTGGGTGAGTGTCCTGGCCACGGGAGCCACGCGCGCTTGTCCTTCTCGGGCTCAGCCAGCCGGAGGGGACCTGTCTCCCCATTTCTTTGCGTTTCCCGGGCCCAGCTTTGGGAGCTGGGTTTGCTGTGACCCTTCTACAGAAATGCCTTCCCGGTTCTCCTAAAACTCCACCCCATCTTTCCCAGTTCTAGGGAGCCCATCAGTCCCACACCAGCTGGTTCCCTGATCCTTTCCCACTCTCTTCCCGCCTGTCTCCCCGTCTTCCCCAGGGGAAACAAACACCCAACCACAGTGCAGATCCCCGTCCCTCTGTGCCCATCCTACATCTCCTTTTGTCCGCCTAGTCTCCACCAGTCTGGCACGCTACTCCCCTTGAATAATCTTGGGGAGCTTTGTCCTTTGAGAGCATCTCAGATCCTTGGTCCAGCTCGGTGGGTGGCCTCAACTCCGATTCCTGCGGGCTGAAATCTAAGCTGCGTCCATACGCCCCCGCAAAGCCACAGGTGTGGGGACCGAGGGCGCAGCGCTCCTGCCTCGCGTTTTACATATGTTCAGCGAGCAGTGCCTGAATCCCGCCTGTTTGTGGCTCTCTAGAGTTTTCTCAGTCCCTCTCTTGGCTTTGCAGCGATATTCTTTTCCCTGCCCTTTGCCTTCCCTCTTCCCAGCCAGCAGGGTCTGCGCTTGGGGAATCTCACCTGCTCTCCAAGCTCATCTCGATCTCTCTGCCCCTCTGAGCTCCGCTCTTTCTCCGCCCCTCTAGACCCAGGACTTTGCCCTTTCCCCTAGCTCTTTCCCTTTCCCTCTGCAACAAGTCCTGCTCTCTAGGCACGGGCTTGGAGGCTCCCTTGCCATGGCCCTCAGAACCCGGGTGGAGAGGACCTCCGCGCTGCGGGTGCTGAGGGCGCCTCCAGGTGGGGTCAGGATTCCACACCTCCGGCACTCACGGCTTTTGCGCAGCTGGGAGGCAAGAAGCGCCCAGCAGCCTCGGCTCACCCAGCATTACCTTGGGACTCTCGGCCGCCTCGCCAAGCACAGCTTCCAGCAAATGCAGAGCATCCAGCTTCCTCACTCCCTGACCCCACCCGCCCCACAATAGCCAACTATAACAACCCCGACCAGCTCCCTGGGAAGCTGGTTAATCCCTGAAGAGATTTAAGGCCGTGTGTGTGTGTGTGTGTGTGTGTGTGTGTGTGTGTGTGTGTGTGTGTGTTTTCTTAGCCATCTACTTAGAAGGGGGGCCGGGGAATGGTGCATTGAACAGGTACTCGCTAATTCAAATATCGGCTGATTCACAATTCTTGATAGAAGACCAAGAATTTGGGGAAAGGGGTGGAACTGGAACTGTTGCTTCCTGAGCTCCTCTGTGTTGTGTGTGCTTTTGAGAGGGAAGTCGAGATCTCTGGGTTGCAATAGAGTGGTTTTCACTGTCGCTGAAATAATCACTTGCCAAGTCTTGAGAGCTCCGGGGATGAGAGGATGTGTGATCGCTGAGGAACAGGAGGAACCCAGCAGTCTGGTGTGGAGAGGAGAGATTGGAATGGGTGAAGCTGAAAAACCCTCCATCTCAAGAATGAAGGATGCTTAGCGGGCGTTGAAGAATCCACACTTAAAGAGAAGCAATTTCTGGGAGATTAGATCAAGTGGTCATTATCTGGCCCAGCCACCTGCCATTGGAGCTGGAAATGTGGAATGAAATGTTTGGACTTCCAATCTCTTTTTACTCATCTATATTATTGTACTAATAAAGCTTATTATTAGGTAACCCTTGCAGTCCCAAAAGAGGACAATTGAGTTAACTTGGAAGCCAACATCTTGTTATTTCTGGTGCAAGTCAGGCCAATCTTGATGTTCTATAGTTCTGGAGAACATCTCCCTCCAGGTATTTAGTGTGTCTGCCATTTAATTGCCCTTCATAGCAGTACTTGAGGATTCTTAACCCAAAAGTGTATCAACCAGTGGTGACCTCAAATACCATTGTCATATTTATTCTCAAATGCAGCTCTTTTCTTCCCTTTGCTAGCTGTGCAGAGTTGAGATGGAGCAAGGGAAAGAGTGAGGTGAAGTAGAAACTCACATTTTGGCCTAAAATTAACTTGTGGTTGAGAAAAAGTTTACTTTGAGTAACATGCCCCTTGTTGGAATATGAGCATTTACAAGGACGAATGATGTTAGATTTTAAATTTAGCCTTCAATTATCCCAAGAAATTGCTTATCCTCCCCAATCACCAAAGATATGCAGTTTAGTTTTAATTATATAAAACTAAAGCTACATATTGCTGTCAGCACACATTTACAGGCTTGTTAAGTGAATTGCTTCTTCCAGCTGAGAGAAGCATGGTGCAGCAATGGAAAACAGGTTAACAGCTTGAAAACTTAACAGATTTTTATCTGGCTTGATGTTCATGGAAACGTTTTGTTTGTATGATGAAAATATATGTCAACACTTCCACTGGTGACTATTCCATGTGCACCCATGAAACACTCCTAACTGTGGTTCTAACTTGGATGTGAGACATGCCCCAGAAGGTTGAATTTGAAAATACCAGTATTCAGCTGCAGAATGGCTTGTTATGGCCCCAGAAAGTGTGAAATAGAATTTATGTGTTGATCCAGAAAAACTAGTTCTTAGGATTACTCAACACTTCCATCCATGCCTTATTCATTTATGTTTCAAATCTGCGCTTTACTAGTATCTTTAAATGATGAATAAAAAGAACAAAAGCCCTTTTTTTCTCTGAGCAAGGGTTTTTGTTTTTTTTTTCAAAATGCTTATCTTTTGTCTATGGTGAGATTTCCATTATTATGATACGGGCACTTGACAAATGATATTGAGAGAAGAGGTGGCAGTGGACATCATCTCCGCGTTGCCATGGAGATGATGATTTGGTTGACAGAGCCTAGCTCAAAAGTGAAATAGGATCCAGGGAACATGTGCTTCCCTGGGACATTCTAGACAGCATGCTTTCCTTAACAACCAGTCTAGGGATCTAGAGGTAAAGAACTGATCTCCACACATTCCCCATATATTCCAAGTACTGCCATTTAGTATAATCATAGAATGGAGAATGACTTTCTCTTCCCATTTTAGAAGAGTCCACAAAATTATTCAGGCACGACAAAAATGAGGTTGTTATGTGTGATATCTCCACCACTCCTCTGCCTCATTAGCAATAACTCCTTTCTTGTTTCCAGCATTCTAACTAGATGACAGGCAGTTAGGAGGGCAAGGTGATCTAGGTCATTACTGGGAGTATCAGGGTTCTAATCCTGCTTCCAAGCATCATGATTCAATTTCCTCCATATAAATAAAGCCAAATGCATCGCTACTTCCTAGGAAGTTGCACAACATAATCACTGTTATGGCTGAATGCAAGGCTATTGAGTGGCTAAGTACCACGTGACCAAGCTGATAAATGAGAAGCCACTCATTCGGGACTCCAGGACTTCACTTGGGGCAGTATCCCCAGTGAGGGTCCTGAAATTGTGTGAAGTCTCGTGTCATAAGCGATTTGGCAAGTGCTCACACTGCAATGCGGTAGAATCTCATTTTAATGCTCCTCAATACTCAAAGAACTCATTTTTCTCAATTACATAATACATCATGATATATTGACATATAATCCCTATTTTTATAACATCAGAAAGCCTTTTGTAGACCTTATCCTTATTTCCAGATCCCAGAATGATTTTAGCTACCTTATATTTCTTAGCAAGTTAAAAGACATCGACAAGCAGTGTAATAATGTAGTCTAGACTGTGAGCGGACTTGAATCCTAAAATCATTGCTTACATCTGTGTGACCTCTGGCAAGCCTTGTTTTCACAAAACGAATTAGCATCTGGATCAAATGAAATCAAGCACATTTAAACATCCCATAAACTGCAAATCGCAATACACATAAAAGCAATACAATTACAGGTAGGGCTTCTCTGTTGGTAGATAGAACTTCTGGGAATGGACCTCTTTCCATTTTAAGACTAAGATCTTTCAAACGTGATGTCTGCCTTAAATACTTCAAATGCCAGTAGTGCCACAAAGACCTTTTTCCTTGTGCGCTTTAGATCAAAAGCACCACAGTTTTGTTGACGTTAGAAATTTCAAAGTGCTACAAAGCCCAGTTACAGAGAGATAGGAAAAATCAACTGTCAAAAGTAGATAGCATGAGAATAATACGCAAGCATCCAAAGTGTTAAGAATACAGACCTTGAATTCTGTGCTCACTTCTGACTCCAAGTTATCCTCTCTTGTATATGTAAATTTTCATGTTTTTAGTGGTTTGGCCTCCTTAAGAGCAGTTTTTAAAAATTTTATTTACATGGCAGGTACACATTCCTAGAGCCACTGATAGACTTTCAGACGCTCAAGGGAAAATTCTGCAGTTATGCGCTGGAAAATTTACTCAGGGCTTGTTTTCAACTTGTTTTTCGCCACACTCTGAACGAACAGTAAATCTAGGTCGTTTCCTAGGTTCAATCTCAACAAAAATTCTGAGAAAGTTTAAATGAAAAATTCCTTTGGTACGTTTTTACTATAGATAAAAGGAAAGCAATGTTTTGTAAAAATCACACAGAGAAAAGCATGGAGACTTATTTTCAGCAGCGATTCAAAATTGGCTGGGGAAGATGTTTCAACTCCATCTCTCAGTTGGGAATAGAATGTGGAGCACATAGAGTTGATGATAGATTTAGATATGGAAGGCTCCTGAGATTTAATCTAGTCTACCCTGTTCATTACTTAGTTGAGAAAATTGGAGACTAGGGGTGCCAAATGACATGGCAGAGGTCACCTAACTAGTTAGTAGAGGTGCTGGAACCAAACCCAGGGTTCCTGGGCTGCAGTTCTGAATTCTGTCTAGCTCATTGCACGTTTTGAACAGCGAGCAAAATCTATCTGTCGTTTATGAACTAACTCTTAATAATAAAATGTGATTTATTCCGCATTTAGAAGGAAGCAGCACAAACACGACTGGTGTCCTTTCAAATTTCTCATTCATTCATTCCTTTTGGTTAAATGTGTAGCATTCTGAGTATTTTTGTTTTGGATTTTGCAGGGCACTTAATGGGGAAAAAGAGCACAGGAGAGTCTTCTATTTCTGAAAGAGGGAGCCTCAAGCAGCAGCTGAGAAAGTACATCAGGTGGGAAGAAGCTGCAAGGAATTTGCTGGGTCTCATAGAAGCCAAGGAGAATAGAAGCCACCAGCCACCTCAACCTGAGGCTCTGGGCCATCACCAGCCTTCGTGGGATTCAGAGGATAGCAGCATCTTCAAAGATGTAGGTTCAAAACGCAAAGGTAAAAGAAACATACATGCGAGATGGGGTGAGAGGTATTTGAGGAGATGTGAAAGAGGGCAAGTTTAAATAAGGAAGAATAAAATTGCTTGTGTTGTAAACCTTCACAGCTGCTACATTCGGCTAACACCAATACATGCGAAGCCAATAGACAATTTCTATGTTCTCTTCTTTTTGGCCTAATAGTCAAAAGGGTATTGATTCCAAACTCCAATTTAGGAGGTTTTTTTTTCCCCAGCAATTTGTCTATTTACCATTATGCACTGATGGGATATATATATACTTTTTTTAACAGCCAGGCCCTACCAGAACATGTTGATAGCAAGTCTGCAAACTATTTGAGTAAATCCCTGTGGATCTACAGACTCTACATTTATTTCTGGTGAACATTAGTGGACATTCCTATTTTTAGAAGAGAGGATTCTTGTTTTCTACCTTTGACACAAAGTAGCACTTCTTCATATTTGTTACAGAAGTACCAAGTTCAGGTTTCATCCTAATATTTTAAGACTCGGTGAACATATCTGAGGTCAACAAATTCATCCTGTATATGCTTTTATAGAAGATCGGGAAAAATAATTATAGTAAAGCAGCAATGCTTAGTTACAAAGACAGTGAACGAGATACGAGAGAGAATAAAATGTAAGGAAAGAAAGAAAGGCGACTGACCATGAGCTGATTATCACTAACTTTTAAGTCTCCATGAAATGTACAATAAACTACAAAATAATGACAAAACAATAATGGCTAGTTTTGTTGAATATTTACTATACTCCAGGTATTGGGCTAAGCAGTTCACCTCCATTTTCTTGGTTTATGCTCACAGCAATCTTAGAAGGAAGACTCTATTATTATCTCTATTTTAGAAGGAAGGAAACTAGCCCCATCGCTTTTCATTGATAAAATCAGGCTAAGATCCTGTGCTCAATCTGCCTCAGACAGTCTGTGCCATGCAAGACATCTTCCAGAAATGGTCCTCACTGGTCTTAATATAAAGGATGCAGGCTGAAGGCCTTGCTTCTTGCTGCTTCACACAATAAATAATGTTGCTTTCCACTCACAGTGCTTGAAGGGCTTCCTTCTTCACTCTTTCATGGTGAAGACTGACGGCCCCTTTAGAGGCTCTGAGCTGCCTCAGCTGGCTTTCTGGAGGGAGGATTTCTATTTCACTGCCTTTTGGGCCTATTGTGGTCTTTGTTTCTCTTTCTTTTCTTTCTGGCAAGGTCTGGCTATGTGCTTGTCTGTTTGTCCATCTTTCTCTCTCTCTTTCTTTCTCTTTCCTTTTTTTTTTTTTGACAAAGACTGGCTATATTGCCCAGGCTGGTCTCAAACTCCTGGGCTCAAGTGATTTCCCCCAGCCTCAGCCTCCCAAATGTGGATTTCTATGCTAAAAGGAATCTAAAGTCCATCCATTGCCCTAAGCACCTAGAGGGAATGTCTTTGTAGCTTTTATTCGGGGAAAAAAAAATCCAGGATTAAATAAACCAATACAGAAATAAATACCAACTTTGGACAAAACCCCAGGTGATTGTCTGGTCCATACCTGTGTCACAAGTGTCATGCCTTCAGCCTCCTTCTTTCTAGATGGATCCCATACTCCGAGGGCTCTGTGAACTTGTGGGTGACTTCTCAGATTGTAGCTGGCCATGCCTTTTTGACGGTCAAGTGCTTTGCTGGAGTTCCTGTAGGTAGATATCCAACAGCAGAACCCTTCTCATTTGTCTAAAGAGTAACAAAAATTGCCACCACAAAACCCTCAAAAATAATTTTTACAGACCTTGAAAATGACTTGCCTTCATAGCTCCTCCGTTAAATACTCCCCTCTACTAACACACAATCATGTTGCTATTCTAAAGTGTCTCATTTTTGAAACAAACAGCAGTGTCCAGTTTGAGTTATTTTATTGCCTCAACTTGGCTCTGCATAGCTTTGAAATCTTTTGGAAAATTCAACTCCTTCCTTAAGGATCCAAAATTTTCCACCATATTCCAAAGACTATTCTGTAAGCTTCAAAGGCAATTGCAAAAAAAAACTGCTCCACAAAGGGCTCTGAGTAGCAGTATAGCAGGATGGGTTGAGTGGGAGGCCATGAAGAGTGGCTGCCTAAAGGGAGCAGTGCTTATCCCAAGTGAACTGAAAAAGGTCATCAGAAAGATCATAAAACATAACCAGGCTTCGCTTTTCTATTCTTTTTATGCATTGTTTCTCTTTCTACAGGTTTACAAAGCCCGTCTCGTTTCATTCCACCTCCAGTTGAATAATTAGTTATTGCACACATTAGTACTATCCTTCTGGCTATATTTCCTAGTAACATGAAAACAGATTCCACAGTTAGTCTTTGCAGAGACCAAAATATTTTGTGGCTTCTCTTGCACTGGAAATTCCACCTCGATGAAAATATGTTGTTATGAAAATTGAAAACACCTTACAATGATCTTATTCGAAAGGAAGGGGTGCCAAGAGAATAGTTCTATTAGACACCCATATATCTCCCACTCTTAGAGTTATGGGAGTGTTAGAGAGAAGCTTAATAACTTGGCCAATCATTGCCAGAATTAGCATCAGGAATTTTCAGAGGCTGAAGGACTGTTCTTAAAATTAAAAACTATCTACAGACACCCTCCTCTCCCATCTTAGTAATAAACATTAAGCCCTGTTGCCAACTCTCTTGGAGCTGTAGTTAGAAACTCCGAGCATTTCATATGTTTTGATGGCAAAGATATTTACTTAATTCGTAAATGATGTGTGTAATGTGCACTGAAACTGGATTACTCCATCATGGAAACAGCTCCAGAACTTTCAGAGCAATTATGCCCAGCGATGTTAAAGGTTAACCTCAATCCTTTTAACTGTGCCCTTCTCACAAATCTTTTAATTCTATTCTGCAATTAAGGGACCCTTTTCCCTATGGGTTCTGCAAAAGGAATCGCTGCTCAGGTCGGCTCCACGGCCTCGTCCATGATCCTGGAGGTGGTTATGTGTTGTCCTGAGTTTCAGTGGAGCTGGCCTTTGATCTCCCTTTCTAATTGGACTCAGTCCTTTATTCTTTGCAGCTTAGGTCTCTCCTTTTATTTAGTGGACAGGGAAGTGAGCTACAAAGGCTGTTACAGAAAGAAAGTAAATGTTTCTCATCCTCACTTTCAAGGGACTGCTCTCACTTTCTCATCAAATCAGTACAGAGAATAGGAAGGTCTTGTTTCTGAATATCTGAAATGCTCCAAATGAAGTGCCAAATATAGAAAAACCAACATACAATCAAGAATCACTCATAACCTTCTGATGACCTTGGCTCTTTCTATGAAGGAGCAGAGTAAAGCTGGCTCCCACCTAGAATACAGCTCCTCCCCAACCCCAGCAATGGACCCTGCCATTGCCTCCCAGGTCCTTGATCTTCCTAGGTTCCACAACACTCTTTTTCCTTTTAGCTTCCGTTCCCTTCAGCCAAACCTCTCTTATTCAATAGTCTGAGCCAATGGGGGAACTTATGTAGACTTTTTTCCCCCCACACATTAGCTGGCCCCTTTTATGACTTGTGACTCATAAGGCAAGATGTGTGGTGGCTTCTTTGGACAGGCAGCAGCCTTTAATAGGGCAGCCTGGGTTGGTGCTAATTGGCATGCGTGGGAATCAAACCCCAGGCCCTGGGCTCATTAGCACATAGTCAAAACAACTGAGCCACAGAGCAGGTAATAATTTGCCAAAGAATAGCAGTAGTTCCTTTATTAGAAACAAATGGCTGATATGGAAGTTGGGGAATCTGAATTGCTGGAGAATCTTGGGAAGAGTAATAAGCTCTAGTCTCAACAGAAAGTGTTTTCTCGTCTCAGCATGTAAAGGGTGCTATACGGAAACAAAAAAGGGTTTTAAAATTATAACTACTCATTCTTTATTTAGTCTTAGTTAATTTGAGCAGAAGCCACAACAAGCAAACCACAATAAATTTAGAATTGGCAGAAATCCAAATTAAATCCTCTTCCCAAGTTTCCCACACTGCTACCATTTACAGTTGTAGGTTTGTTATGTGTAATTACGTAATTCAGAAACCAGCTTTGATTTGTGTCATGGTGCACTGTCAAAGTGAGCAGAGTAAGAATTCAAATTCCACATTCCCAGAATCTACCACCCAGCTGCTACTCTGGTTATAAGTTCCTGGAGATAATACATTAACCAACATTGGTTAAAGCATACCTGAGGAATCATATCAGGGTGCACGTTAAGCTGATAAAACAAAAAGACCCTAAAATGCAGAAGCTCAAAAAACAAGTAGAAGTTAGTCTCTTGGCGGGAGACAGCTCTGGTTCTCAAATTTTACAAGCTCAGAATCACCTGCAGGGTGTGTGAAAGCACAGATTGCTGGGCTCCGCCCTCAGAGTTTCTGATTTAGCAGGTGTTAGGTTGAACCAAGAATCTGCCTTTCTAACAAGCTCACGAGTAATGTTCATGGCTTGTAGGAATGGATTTATTTCTAGGATTAGACTTCAGCTCACTCTGTTTGCTGAACTCTTTCTAGTATTTCTTAAGCTGGTAGACTCTCTGCTCCAGGTTCTCAACGTGAAGGAAGGAACCCCTCAGCTGAACCAGCTATGACAATGATGGCTTCTCTCCAAGGAGAAAAACAAAACCCGTAAGAGACTGCATTCGGCAAACATCAATTCTACTGGATCATCAACAGGATTTCCTTGTGCAAAAGACTTGACTATTCTTGTATCTTTCATCCTTGACTAAATTCATGATTTTCAAGCAGCATCTTCTGGGTTGAATTTGTTTGCTGTGAACGAATGTTGAAGAGTCTTCCAATTAATGCTTTTTACATCTAAGCTATCTGTTGCTTAGATTCAAGGCCCCAAGCTGTTACCATTCACAATAAAAGCTTAAACACATTGTCCAAAGGGCAGGCTGTTCTCTTATTTCAATTCCAAATGAGAGGATAGTATGGCAGAGATGAACAAACGGCTTCAGGACATACTCGTGTGCTCACTGATCAAGTCAGGCTGAAGCTCTCCCTCTGAATCCCTGCAGTGACTTAGAGCCTTTCCGGAGGCTCCCTTATTTTCTCATTCCCATCAGGTGGGCTAGGTTGAAGATGGAGGCTAGCTCTATCCATCACTTAAGAATTCCCTAATTGTCAACCCTTTCCATGACCAGGTATTGTGCTGATTTCATTGCTGGACATCTCCTAATAGTACTTTAAGCTGAGAATTATCATTTTCATTTACCAGATGAGAAAGCAGAGGATTAGAGAGATCAAATGCCTTGCCCAAGTCGCATAGTAACTGGAGCTGGGATCTAGACATCCACAGTCACCAGATTCCCTGCGTTACTCATTTTAAACCACCCTTTCAGTATATTTATGCCTTGCAAGTGGCACTGTTTTTTCAAAATTTCATCGCCAGTCTTGGAGGAGTCGTCCTCAGTGCCAGATTTAGTTAGCTCCACAGCTAAAGGATAAGATGAATTCAGTTCCTTCCATTTTCAGAGAATATGGCCTGGCAGTTCGTTAACACTCACCAGTTCTTTTTTTTTTTTTTTTTTTTTACCGGTTCCTTTTTTTATCATGACATTTGCACATTAACAGATTTCGAAGCCTCTTGCCATATGTTTAGAACTTCTTCATTTAGGAAAATCACATTTGCAATCTTAAAGAGATTTGTCTTGCTCTTGTTTTGATTACCTAAGAACCGCATAAAAGATGCTATGTTCTTTCTCATTTCTTTTAAAACCATGTTGATTCACAGCATATGCACAGCTAGACCTGGGAAAATGTGTGAACTGTGTATTCAGTGTTACCACCTTCCTCTACAGGGCCCCTCTTCGCTATCATGAGACTATCTTCAGCCTCTTTCCCAAGAACTTGATCCTGAGCCATGTCAGCTAAAGCCTCCATGTGCCGATGATGAAGGTATAAGCCCTCTCAAGGATGTGTCTTCTAACAGGACAATCATAGAGCTAAAAAAAAAAAAATCTTCCAGACTTAGAGGATGCTTTCTCTAACGGTGGCATTTCAGGCAAAGAGAAAAGGTTGACATAGGGCAGTGCTCCTAGAGTAACCCCTTCCAGACTATCACTTGTCAGGCTGTTTCACGAGAGTAAACCTACGTGAACCCGTGTTTTCACAGCCATCACTTTTTCCCAGGAGTTCTGACTGGGACATAACAGCTCAAATCTCCTCACCCTTGCAGTGCTCCTCTGTGCCAAACCCAGGTCAAGCCTCGAATCTTTTTGAGAGATATGCTGTTCCCTGCAAAATTAAAAAAATATACATTTGCAAGGAAAGTTTTATCACATTACACATGTGTGTGCCTATTGGGTCAGGTAGCTACCCTTGGGTAGTTTAAGCAGAAAGGAGAAAATTAATGAGTAGGTATTAGTCAGGGAAGACCAGAGAACCGGGCTCAAGCCTAAACTTGTAGGTTCAGTACCCAAAGCCATGTCTCTAATTGTATTGATGAGACTCACGCTTCGGAACTGCCTGAGTCTGCACTCACTCTCTTCCTCAGCCTCTGCTACCACCTGTGCCTGCAGTAGGATGATCCCAGAGACTCCCAAATCAGTCTTGAATGAGTGTCTGATTGGTGGAACCTACCTCATATCCCTGCACCTAGCTGTAAGGGCTTCTGGGAAATGGAGTTTTTAGGATTTTACTTTAGGAACTTGGGATTAAAATAATGGGACCCTATCAAAACGGAGAGAGGGTGTCAGAGATGTGGTTGACCACAGATAATACATGCCCCTCTCCTTCCCCACCCCAAAGTTTTCCCTTCGATTCCTGCTCATTCCCACTCTAAGGAACAGTTAGTCCCTAGCCTGGGAATCAGGGAAAGCAGGAGCCTGGTGGCTGTTCTGCACAGCACACAGTCCAGGTGTGTCCACGGTACAGCAAGATGAGAAGATTGCTTTTAAGAGCAGATGCCTTAGAAATCCTTGCAGTAAAGCAGGATAATCAGAAGGAAGAATGCAAAAGGGAAGAAAGCAGTAATGGTCTTTGGATTTGTCCTTTGAAAAGCTGTCTTTTTTATTTTTACTTTTTAGTGCCACAGGGTGGATTGCTTTGGGCAATTTGGCAGTCTTTGCATATGATTAGAGGTTCATTAACACACCAAGCAGGCATTTCCAGCAGTGCAGTACAATTTCTAGCCTCAAAATGCTCACCTTTTAGTCCCTACGTGGGGGATATTTAATCATTATGGAGCATCTTAACCCAGCTTGGATGTGTGGAGAGTAATCTACGAATGTGGAGGTTGCATTATTCACTTCCTTAGCCACCAGCTGTTTTGTTCAGACAACATGAAATAACTCTTCAAGGGAGACATGTAATTATGCACCATTGTCATCCTCACAGCAAAGGATCAGTGTTCACCATGGGCATGGAAAAGGCTCTTAGCTCCACCTCCAAGGGCTTTTTTTCAATTAATCACCTTAAATCAGACCTGGATGTGACACAGAATCCTCTCCATTTCTTTCCACTCTACTTAGTTCACAAATGTTATATAACATATATATGCGTTTTATAACATACATATGATGGACAGAAGAGGTAGATCATGACATGGATGGATTGAGAGGGCCACCTGATTAATGCCGAGGGATGCATCACACTCCAAAGGAAACTCTAATAGCCTCAAGGAAGAAAGTGTATTTTTCATCCTTCCACCTTCTGCCACTAATTATATACTACCCTTTCCAAGAGTGTTTGGATTTTTTAGCTCATCTTGAAAGAAATATTTAAACATTAAAAATATACTTTGGTGGCTAAGTGCAGTGGCTCACACCACTAATCCCAGCACTTTGGGAGGCTGAGGTGGGCAGATCACCTGAGGTCAGGAGTTTGAGACCAGCCTGGCCAGCATGGCAAAACCCCATCTCTACTAAAAATACAAAAATTTGCCAGGCATGGTGCTGCATGCCTGTAATCCCAGCTACTTGGGAGGCTGAGGCACGAGAATTGCTGCAATATGGGAGGCAGACTTTGCAGTGAGCTGAGATCATGCCACTGCACTGCAGGCTGGGCAACAGAGTGAGACTCTGTCTCAAAATAAATAAATAAATAAATAAATAAATAAATAAATAAATAAATAAATGTGTGTGTGTGTGTGTGTGTGTGTGTGTATAATACACACACTTTGGACATGATACAAACTTGATAATTTGTATTTTAAAATATCCTCTTTTGCCTCTTAATTTATTTAGCTCTAAGAGTTTTTAATGTATATTTTTAATGTAAAAATCTCTGATGATAAGTATTTTTGTTTATTATTTCCAAATAAGAGATTTCTTCTATTGATTTGTAGCAGTGACTGACAACCCAGCACAGTCTCCCTTAGAAACGTGCAGCACTTTGGCTGTCCGTTGCATCTATATTAATTAGAAATAGTTTTTGGATACATGTGACAAATCCAAATCAAACCACATATCCATGGCTTAAAGTAGATAGAAATGTGATTTTCTCTCATATCACAAGAAGTCTAGAGGCCAGAGGTGCAGGCCAGTGCAGTGATCCAAAGATTTGGAGCCAAGACCTTTGTGATTTTCTTAAATTTCCCTTCATGATTACCTATAAAATGGTGGCTGCAGCTCCAGCCAACAAACACACCCCAGTTTCATTTAGAAAAGAGAGAGGGAAACAGAAAGGGGTGAGAGCTGCATCATGAAAACAAAACTTGCTGAGAAAACTTCAACCTCTATGTTTTGGTCAGAACTGCGTCACATGACCACTTCTAGCTGCAAAGGAAGCTGGAAAATACCATTTACTGGTGAGGACTTTGCTAGCACATCACCTCCCTGCTTCCCTGAAAACAAAACAAAACAAATTTCTCTTAATAAGGAAAAGAAAATGGATGTTTGATAGGTAACCAGAAGTGTTTGCCATGTCAGCTATAATTGAATGGCAAAGATTGAATCTGAGAAAGAACCAAGCTGGAACCTTAAGTCTGATGTGACTAGAAGATACCTAGACAATAGGCCCCGTTTTTAGTATGAAATTGCCCTGCCCTGAGTATCATTCTCAATGCTGAGTGCCAGGAAACCAGGTTTACAAACATTCTGTCTTCATGACTTCACCTACCCTCCATCTCTGAAAACAAAAGGCTGCAATAGAGATTGTGTTTTATAGATTGGATGTCATCTTTAATCTTTAAATGTATTAGCCTGTTTTCATGCTGCCAATGAAGACATACCCAAGACTGGGTAATTTACAAAGGAAAAGAGGTTTAATGGACTCACAGTTCCATGTGGCTGGTGAGGCCTCACAATCATGGCAGAAGATAAAAGGCACATCTTATGTGGTGGCAGACAAGGGAGAAATGAGAGCCAAGTGAAAGGGGAGACCCCATATAAAACCATGATCTCTCGTGTGACTTATTCACTGTCATGAGAACAGTATGGAGGAAACTGCCCCCATAGTTCAATTATCTCTCACTGGGTCCCTCCCACAATACTTGGGGCTTATGGGAGCTACAAGTCAAGATGAGATTTGGGCGGGGGCACAGCCAAACCATTTCACTAAACTTAAACCCAAGATGTGACAATTTCCAAGT